AAGGAGGAGTTTTTGAAAATGAAACAGGAACTCGAACAGTATGTAATAAATTCCTGATGGCATGAAAATTCTTCTTAAACATGTTACTGCCTACAGTTCGACTGATAGAGGATGAATGGATTTAGGGATTATCTTGCCCAGTTCAAGAAAACTGTCGCTATGCATGAGGTGTTTCTGCAGAGAATTGCTGCTCACCCGGTATTCCGGCAAGATTCCAACTTCCGCATATTCTTGCAGTATGAAGATGAAGTGAGTCTTCCTTTATTTTGTCGTGCTTTATTTTTGTTTTTTTACCGCGCTTAACCTCGAAGCTGTGGCTTTATCGATGATTACTGCATTGTAATAATATAGCTTTATTTTCAATTGTGCTTAAATTTATTCCAAACTGAAATAAGTATTTTATTTGTGTGATCTCACATTACATTGTTGCGTCTCCAACTAAGATGCTCAGAAGGTCAACATTGATTCGAATAGTTTCTGACTACTTTTCAGCTTAATTTTCTATCTGTTACCATTGGTGTTCTTTATCTAATGTTAGAAAACGGAGGACCATTTCTTCCGTAGCTGAACAAGCTTAACGTTTCGTTTAAGCAATCATGCTATCACTTTTTTCTTTTCTCCTTTATTTCAACCAAAATTTTTTTCAAAATTTCAACAAAAGTTTTCTTATCAACCTCGTACGAGTTCAAGCAAAGAAACCAACATCGTAGCACTCTTCCTACTTACTCCCATAGCAGTTTTTACTTCGCTTAATATCTTTTTTTTTTGTTACTTCGGGCCATCCTTTTCCAAACGAGTTTCCAGGCTTCGGCTCTAAGTTTGATTTTGAAACTCTCCTATCAAAAAATGAAGCTCCCTTTTGCAAAAGCAACTGGCACCGGAAGCTGATACTGTCTGTTATCTCTGTCTCTGTAAACTCTGTAACTCGCTGCTGTTTTTCGGATTATCCTGGTCTTGTCTACTACTTCTTTTTTGAGTTCTACTATCTCCAAACATCTCCAGACTCCTTTTTTGAGCTCTATTCTCTCCGAACTTCTCCAGTTTTCAACCTCTTATCCGTCTCCTTTGTTGCTTTATGAAATTACTGTCATGAGCAGCAAATTTTGTATCAGTGTTCGTCATTTTCGATAGATTAGGTCATGTTTCGTATTTTTTGAAGCCTCAGCTATTTGCCTCACCTATTTACAATTAGTATAATGGTTCTTCCCGAAGTTTCATATCTACAAAAAACTGTTGTTGGCCTCAGTCACGCCTATGATCATATTGAGCGCTCATTTTCGAGGTTATAATGAACCCTTAAAATTGTGAGATAGAAGTAATTCTTTCTAAATAGCTTGCTCACAATAGGTAATCAGGACATGTTGGTGTCAAATCTTCGAGGCAAAAAAAATTTTTTTTTGAAGTTTTTTTTTTGTCATTATTCTCGTTGATTAAGGGAACACATGAGTGACTCAGAGCTCTACTACTGGAAAAACCTGAATTGATCGAGAGTAGCAGAGTTTTGGTTTTTTTATTGGGTCTCTAACTTTTTACTTCTTCCTAGGAACAAAATTTTATGATCACAAATTCAAAGCATGCGAGTTTTCATATGATTTCATTCAACTTCTACTTACTTTCTAGTCTAATCGAGCGTCTGGGCATAGAGCTACGGTGTTGTTTGATTTTCNAACCTCTTAATGATTTTATATGGAAGCAATCTCCTGTAGTTTAGTACAGTAGGCTGCATCTGTAGCTCTTTCAGCGATCGTCGCCTTCATGTATGCCTCGGAATGTGTACTTATTCGATGATGGGCGATGCCTTGTCAGACGTCTCATTCGCGATGGTTCTAACGACCTTTACCTCGATACCATCACATGCCGTCGTTGCGCTTCACGCATGAAAATCACATTACGACATGGGAAATATAAAGGCGAGACGCGTTCTTATTGGGCATATAGATGTCAAGGATGCCAGTCATATCGTTCTTTGGTCACAATTCAAAATCCGACGACAACAACATCACCGACATCCTCGAGAATCATGCCGGTGCCCTTGAAACGAGACTCGAAGTCGGATATATCGCCTATAGCGGAAAAGCGATTTGCACCTTCATCGTCGATGCCGTCAGCGCAGAAACCCTGCGGTTGCCTGGTCTTCATACCCAAACAGCTGACTGAAGCAGAAGTACTACTTGTGCGAGAAACGTTCTTCAAAATTGTCACGAATCAATATGTGGAACCGGAAGCAGAATCTGCATCTTGCCCCTCCTCTTCTTCCACTGAGTTTGGCTCTAGTTGAATCTGTGCAAAGTTGGGCCATGTAGCGACTTGTTAACGTTAATGTGTAACGTAAGTGTGTGAGTCCTACTGTAGCAATTTCCTCCCATATCTATTTTATAGTTCGTTGAACTACTTCGTTCTCCTGACATTTTTCGTTCTCGTTGATTTCTTATGTTACTTGTGAAAGTGTTATAGTTGCCATGCAATTAGAGTGATGTCAAATGAGGTGTGTTCTTTGGGTGTTACGAGTTCGAGTGCAAATTTTATTTCTTCGGATAGCTCAGGGAATAGTTTTCAGCAGCGATTTTTTGACATCGTTTTTCAATTTCCTTTTGTCAGCTTTATTGATTTCAGCCTGTACTATTTGGGATCTTGTGAGATATCGTTTCAGTGTTTTTTACTGTAGTTTTCTGAGTATAACTAAGCACTAACAACTGTGTGAGAGCGCAATTTCCATAGCAACGGATTGGTCTCAAATCGGCGGCAGGCCTTAGATTGGTAATTCATTTCGATTTAAGATGCTGGGGTGAAGAAAGAGACCTTGTTGCTAAGTGGATAAAAGGTTCTCAGAAGTTCTAGTTCTGTCAATTTTCTTGGGATGTCTTGATTCATCTACTTGTGGTAATTGCCAGAGCAGAGAGGGTAGCTATTTGATAAGGTTATTCGGGCAGGGTCTCTGCTGTTTCGAAACGGTCGTGGGTGTGCAGGAGATTTAATCTTGTGTACCCGAGACAGCTGTAGAATAACTAGGTTTGATTATTTCAAATTAATTTTCTCCTTGAAATATCCCGGATTTATGTAGATCGTAATCATTTCTCAGAACAGTTACCAGGTATTTGGAAGGTCGCGACCTCACACAGTCGTGGATGTGTTAATGCTGTGTTTACTAACAAATTGTTGTTTGGTAGTTTTTATGATTTTGCCTTTCACTGCTTTCAGGTAGAACAGCAGGGGTTCATTCACAGTGTTTATCTCTTACGGTTGAAAAAATTGCAGATTTTATGGCTCTAGTAGTTTGTTATTGTTGTTGTTCTAGTTTGCTTATTTAATGAAGTTACTAACACGAAGTCGTTTTTGGTCAATTCGAATGGGGTTTTCCCATTCTACGTTGAAGCATTCTAGACTATCATCCTTCGCTACCGATTATATTTTTGTATAATTTTTTCTGCATTTATCTCGAAGAGTTCCAGGTTTTCCAGAACTTTTATGTCTATTCCACCAACACAATACATTTCAGCTATCCGTTCGTGGCAAAAACAAGAAGGAAGTAGTTGAGTCGTTGTGGAAGCGATTAACTCAGTCTGCTGACGAAGTTCTGCTTTCTGGACAGGTATGAATTTTTATTTCAAGGAGTGTTTCCAGCCTTCTATCCAATGGGAATTTCCTGTTCGAATTTTGGAAATTTAAACTCAGTGAAAGGAAATGATCAGGGACTGGAATTGTCAATAGGCAGTCAGTCCTCTGTTGTTCATTATTTCGTAGGAAGGGTGACTGGGTGTGCATAAGGATGACTGGAAATCTTGACAGCGTTGTTGCTAACTCAAAATTACAGAAACTGGATTAGTTGGGTGTGAGTCGACTCATGCCATGGCCGTAAGCTCGTCCAAACTAGGTCACAGCACGCGCGGCTGTCACCACTGGCAAGTCAACACCATCAGTCTTTGGACTCGAAAGGTGAAAGGCTTTGCTAAGGCTGATCAAGGAGGCCGTGCATGCTGCGACTTAGCTTTGAGTCGCTCATAGCGATGTACATATTATGCATTTTGGCACATACTCGTATGGGATCATTTGTCCCTTGGGTTCAGGGCTTCAACGTTTCCCAAGTGAAGACGTGGAGTCACGTTCGTCACACGTCTTATTCATCGTTTTAGTTGCACGCCATTTCACATCGGCATTCCAATATTTACGACTCGCGCCTTCGGCGTTCAAATTCCTTGGACCAATTTGAAGCTAGCGATTCCCCCCACCCTCTACTACCCTCGACGCCATCCCATCCCCTTTCTGTGGCGATCTATGGGCGTAGCCTGATATGTCGATAGGCATCTGTTTCGCTATTCCCCGCATTTCCTTTAATACCAGAGAGCAAGAGCGCTTTAGAGAAAAATGAAAAGCGTAATCGTTTAAGTCATCTTCTGCTCCGTTGCTATAGAAATCATGTGCTTGTTTAATTCTTCTGGGAATTCTTTTTCAAGCTCTTTATGATTGACTGCAACTTCTTTTAAAGTGAAATAGTGCGGATTTGTCATTCAAAATCTGTCTTTCCAAACTTTCAGAGGGATGTGGACGATTTTTTCGAGAACGAACGCAATTATCTTGTGGAGTATAACACTCACATAAAGGACGCCGCGACAAAAGCCGAGAAGGTGGTGAAGTTACGCAAAAGTGAGCATCGAATTTTTTTAGTTGTAAATAAGCTGCGTTGGAACTTGGATGATTTTCTTGGGTATTCAGCAGAAAATGCTGGTCATGCATTAGGTAGTTTTGACCATATTATTTGTGTTTCTTTAGAGGAAGAGAAATTTGTCCAGTTGATGATTTCGAACTTGAAAAGTTTGATACAGTGCGGTTAACCTTGAATCGAGTTTGATCTTCATAAATGTTTAGTGGAGGAGTTGAGGAAGGGAAGTGGTGCCTAGTAGTTCACTATTCACTCCTTTGTTTTCATTTGTTTACTCCTCCAAACTAGCGGCTTTTTTGATAGAACGCAAGCAGTTAGATTTTTGTTGATATCCGTTCATCTTGAAAACTATAGTGAAGGTGACGTTCCTATTATATCACAGTATAGTATACTGTATAAGGTTAAGTTTAAACTATCCTTCGTAAAGTCTTCTGTGCTCTTCCTTAGAGTGCATACAGTCTGCAGAAGAGAAGCGCGCATCTGGTGGATCCCCAAGAATCAGAGGAGAGTAAAAATAGGTAACACCAAGCTGCATGGTATTGATCAACATTTTTGGGAAATTTGCCATTCATTCGTTTGGCAGCTTTTTGTATAATTTAAGGGTAGTTTAACTGGCTGTCTACTGCATCGGTGGTTCATTTACAGGGAATTAGCTGATTTGGGAGCGCAATAAGTAGAACTTTGTCCCAGTCAATTAACTATTGTTGGTTTTAAGGCTACGGTCATCCTGAACGTGGCTCAATTCGATGTAACTATTTGTAACAACAAATAAGACAGACGAAAAAAGAAATCAACATGACATGAGAACAAAATTCTACAAAATTGTGCGAGGAACAGTTTCCAGAGCCGAGTTTTAGCCTTCCTCTGCAATTCTTCCCTTCACATGATTAGATGGAAAAGTCTGCGAGTAACGAAAGCAATTTTCAAGGGCGGACGTAGCTAATATTAAACATGCTCGAAGATCTAAGAGAAAATAGCCAGATTGTTCTGCCACAGAAATGCTATTTTTGATAGGTTATATTGTCGAACTTTGAAAATCCAGAAATTGAAATTTGACTCACTTCCACTTGTCGTTGAAGATTCTATTTTGGTTTGGATTTTGTGAAAATTGGCTTCAAATACATTCTTATTATGCTATTACATGTGAAGGGCTTTTAGCAGAAATATCGGGCTTGAGCGCTCTGCTACAGTACTCTCGAATGTATCAGCTTTTATAATAAAGTGAGATTTTGTGACTGACGTCAACGTCATGACGATTAGCCGAAGTATCGTATTACACGTTCTAGTGAAAGGATTTTGTGTTCGATGAAAAGAAGTACCAGTTAATGGCTGGCTACAAAGAGCAATGAATTCTCAGGGCTGATTGATCCCTATGGCTTATGTCTCGCATTAGGTTCCTTCTCAGAAAAGTAAAGCTGTTGGAGTGCTTTATCAGAATAGAGGAGTTTTGGGCTCGAGCGGAATACTTGCGCTACGAGACACCCAGCTAAGGCGACCAATCAAGTCATGGCGCACAGCGAGAAATATAGCTAGGAATTGGTTCAGTTGTGAGCGGTTTGGATCTTGTACTGTATGCCTCAAGTTTGCGAAGTCCGAAATCGAGATGGTGTTTAAGAAGGCGCCCTTCACCTTTCTTACAGCCTTAGGGGGGGCAGACTGTACGGGTGAAAGGCTTTGCTGGTTGGATGTCTGCCACTTGCAAGCGTACCGCTCGAACATGTGGAAAGCATTAATCTGTGTGAGCTGCAAGGTGCAAGGTTCAGAAGTGGAAATTCATAAGAAGAATAATAGGTTATCACTGATAGAAATGCAAGTTATGGAATTCTTACGAGTTTAATCTTCAAATGCAGTCTAAGGTATCCATGACTTACAATTTTTCAGGAGTAAATTGATTTTCGCGTAAAGTGCAACTTTGCGGGCGTGGAAACTAGTACGTTTGAAATATAATGACATGAATCACCTATTTATGTGTGAAAAAGGGTTTCATAAGCGTGGTTTACAAGTAAATCATCGTATCGCATCTGATGAACAGCGATGGGAGGGAGCACCATGTTTTGGAAGCTTCTAACCCGTGAATGTTTGAGCAGGTTTGACGAACTCTTTCCCGAACTGGAGTATCCACCCTTCGTCTTGAAATTAACGACTTAACTCATCCGTATTAGTTTATGTTGTTCTAAGTGTAAATTGAGAACCTGATAATTTTGATTCTTTACTTTTTAGTTTGACGTCGCGTTTTCACCGACGTCTACAGTTATATAATCGTTTGGTATTGATTCAAATTTGATTAGGAACATCAGCAATATTTTATTTAAAATTAAAATTAATTTAATTTAAAATTAAGTTCAACCCGGTCTCCTCTCTGAGGTTCTTTGGGGAAGAATAGCGTAGGCGTTTGATGTTTTTGTCCGGTGATCAAGGAGAACAGGTTAGAGCAACAATACCATATGAATTGTTCCCAAGAGTGAAGTTTTCTATACCATGAAACGACTTGATGACGTTGTTAGACCCTGTGGCTGATAATGGACTTCCACTTATATGGGATAACTTCTCTTTTCTCTTGGGAATCTTTTACTGGAATTAGTCTATTCTTCGAATCTTCCTCTCATAATCAGCTGATTTTGAGATTATTGCTCGATAGGAATTAGGAAATTACGTCCTATACTATTCCCCCAAGGTAATAATAGTTTTGTAATCTTAGACGCTGGCCTCGAATCGAAATGGGCCCTGACGCAGTGTAAATTGGTTTCGCCATTTTTTGAGACGTCTGCAAAATGCCTGCAACGATCGTTGTATCCGTGCCGACCGCCACCAGCTCGGGCAGTCATTAGACATTTTCTGACGCCATTCGACCCGCCAACAACGCAGCCGCACTTTGCAGATTTCTCAGACCAAATTTATGATAGCGAAAAAAGAACCAAACTGTGATAGCAGTCTGCAAATGTTGGTCTGGGTTAATGTAATGACTCTTCGCAGGAAAAAAGGGGCGAGAGTTCCTTTTTGCAAGCAGTGCAATAATTCTTCCTTTTGATCGATTCTAATTCGTTTTCTGGATGGGCGTGGCGCATTCTACAGGGACTGATTCATTTCTCAACCTTCAAAAAAATATC